AAGTGCACAAGTACCACGAATTTACACATGCCAAAGAAAAGAAACGAGCAGCTTTGCTAAGAAGTTGGCACCTAGCCAAACTGCAGCCCGTTACTGTTAGAGTAGCCTGAAAATCCAGAAACGTGAAATTAGCCAAAATCCGCAGCCCCACAAGTACCACGAATTTACATACTCCAAAAAGAAGGGCCGAGCAGCTCTGTTAAGAAGTTGGTACTACGCCAAGTTGCAGCCCGCTGATAGGGCAGCCTGAAAATCCAGAAACGTAAAATCAACCAAAATCGATAATCCTACAAGTACCACGAATTTACATACCCCGAGAAAAAGAGCCGAGCAGCTTTGTTAAGAAGTTGGCGCCATGCCAAACTGCAGCTTGTCGCTGCTGCTATAGTGGTCTGAAAATCCAGAGACGTAAAATCAACCAAAGTCGATAATCCTACAAGTGCCACGAATTTACATACTCCAAAAGCCGAACAGCTTTACTAAGAAGTTGGCACCTCGCCAGATTGCAGCTTGCTGCTGCTAGGGTAGCTCGAAAAAATCCAGAAACGTAAAATTAGCTAAAATCCACAACCCCACAAGTACCACGAATTTACATATTCCAAAAAAAGGGCCGAGCAGCTTTGTTAAGAAGTTGGCACCTCGCCAAATTGCAGTTTACTGCTGCTAGAGTAGCCTGTAAATCCAGAAACGCTGGATCAATCAACTCTCTCATTATCGCTCCCTTGTTTCGTCGTATGGTCGCTATCTTGTTTTTTGGGCTATTTATATATGTCGTCTACTTTCTGGGCAGAATATTCGGTACCAGCTGCATTTGCGCGAGATCTATTTTGAGCCTTCAGGCGAGCTTAGTGACCTCGTTTTGAGGCTTCACCTAGGAATCTCTATCCTGAAAATGGACAACTCGGCTCGGCCACCCAATATGGTGCACCACTCATTTTCATGCAGGAAAAGGCCAAAACACAACCAATATGAGTCGCATAAGTGGATCCGTTTGAGTCATTTAGACGGGTCAAAGAAGGAGGGAGAGGCGAACGCCCCTCCCCTTGGGTGAGCCCCGCCCAGCGCACAGGCATTACTGCTGCAAGGGCCCGAGTGTGTTCATAAATAAAGCTAAAGTAACTCTAAGAAGCAGTGTGTTACAACTCTATTCCAAGTTTTTGCATAGTTTCAGGGCGGGAGGGAGCTCCCCGCCCGTCCCTGTCGCTCCTCCCTCACCCCTCCCCCTCTCCCCGTCGCGCTAGAAGCCTGTCCTGGATTCGCCTATGCTATCAGTGCTCACTTTATCACTATCATTCCTCATTTTTATCACGATCATTGTTCATTTTATCGCCATTATTTTTCATACGAATCCCGATTAGTGCTCATTTTATCGCTATCATTTCTTACATTTATCGCGATTAGCGCTCATTTTATCGCTATCATTCTTCACATTTACCATTACCACTATAAACTTTGTTTTTTCCGCAAGAATTCTTATGACCGCAATTGCTTTTTACCAGGTTTTTTATTACTATCATTCTCAGAAATCCGTCCTGGATCCATTTGTCACTATCATTATCACTATCATTGTTTATTTTTCCACTGTTATTCTTCACGTTTATCGTCATCACTATAAATTTTGTCAGCGAGAATTCTTATGATCGCGTTAAAACACGTTTGCTATCACTATCTTTGCCTCTTATTTTATCACTATCACGATCATCGTTTCTTGCTCCACGCTACTGTTACAGAAGCAGTTTCTCGGCCAGGGACTTGGATTTTCTGGGATAATTTCAGGCTTCAAATTGTATTTTAATTGGTCAAGACAGTTCGACGTGAGTAGTGAAAAATGTTAGCAGCACCGTTGGTTCCGCCTCGTCCGCCAGGTAATTTGCTCTTTACCCCGCTCCCTCCCCCTCCTCCCCTTCCCTCCTCCTCCTTACCGTCCATTTTCCCTTACTTAGCTCCCTGTTCACAATTTCACGTTTTATTCAATCGCCAAGCAGGACACGTATATATTCAAATTCAGTTTTTATTTTTATCTTTTAATTTTACCGCAAAAAAAAATTTTACAAAAAAATTTTGCCTTTTAATTTTACAACTTTTTTCATAACCATAAAATATCGAAATTTAAGTGCTGGCATAATAAACATGTCATTCGCTTGGTACATAAAAAGCGAAACACAGAAGCATACAGCGAAAACTCACAGCGTTTAAGATCAGTGCAATGAAAATTTGGCATCTTAACATGCAGTGTTTTGTTTTTTGGCTTAAAAATTCAGAGCAAGAAGGGGCCTCGATTTTCGACGGTAGTACCCCTTTCAAGAATTGGCGATTGCTTCTGAAAGAAATAGTAGAATAG